CCAAGTGATGCAAATAAAAAAACGGAGGGAGTCATTTATTAAAACTTAACATACAAGTAAAAGCTTATTTTAAGTAATGAGAAAAGTGATTTGTATTTTGTTTTAAAATTAAAAAAAATACAATCACCACGTTAGAGAAATTAACGAATGAGATTAAGGATTAAATTTTAAATGTAAAAAACGACAAATAATGATTTAGGATTAAATTTTTTTTAAAAAAAAATACATATTTCCGGATATAAAATAATCCTATGAACGACATAGCATATTTAAAAATAATTATTTTTAATAAAAGTTAACACGTAACTAACCCTAAGGAATAAGATCGCATAATAAATTACAATAAAACTTAGATTTTTAGAATATGAAATAGCAATTTAACTAATATTTTTTCTCTAAAACTGTTAGATAGTAAAATGAATCAAATAATTACAAAAAAATCTTAGAGTTTAATTAAGAAATAAACATAGTAGTTTATAAAAAATTCGTGCATTGCACGGGCTTTTATCTAGTAGATATCTCTGTCATTATTGACTTGAAATTAATTTTGTTGAATTTAAATTATTTTTATTGAACTTAAATTATTTTTATCAAACAAAAATTAGTTTTACTTATTAAAACTTATTTTTATTGATTATTATTTATTTTTAAAAATAAATTAAATATATTGTAAATGAATATTCTTTTAAAAAACTATATTAAACGAATTTTATTATGGAAATAAAATCTAGTTATATGATATTTATTGAAAGTTATGATTAATTTTCTATACGTGAAATATTATAAGTTTATAGATAATAAAAATCTAGTAAAAATATTTTTATCTAACAAAATCTATCTAAAATTTGCTTATTTAGCATCATATGTGTCACAATAATCCATATTTGTTGCATACGTGGTGCGACACTTTATGCAAAATTAGAATGTTAGGTATCGTTGTCTCGTGGCCTGGGTGAGGGATCTGACTTTATATATATATATATATATATATATATATATATATATATATATATATATATATATATATATATATATATATATATATATATATATATAATCTCATAACACTTACTTTTATACACCACATAAACTGAGGGAGTCTCAATTTATCATGTTGATATTCGTTTATAGGTGGAAAAACTATAAATAAATCAACAAAAATATCCCGATCTACATGACATTTTCGTAATTATATCAAATACTATGAATTACAGTACTATTTAAAAAAAAAATTGTTGATTTATTTATAGTTTTATCATTTGATAGTGATCGATAATCTTGTATATTCTCACACAACCTTTTTTATACAACCAAATTTCCAATGATGAATAATAATGTAATACTAGTTAATGCCCGAGCTATGCTTGGGTTGTTTAATTAATACATAGTTGAATTATGTTTTTGCATAATAGAGAAATAAATTTTGTATGTTGATTTATTACTTAGTCCATCAATAATTGAAATTATCAACTTTTACCCTGATAAAATTAACTTTTAGTTATTTAGGGCTTGTTTGGCATCATTTTTGGTTTTTAGTTTCTTGGTTTTTTGAAAAATAAAAACCAAAAACAGTAAACAAGAAAAAGGTGTTTCCACTTTTTTGTTGTCAGTTTTCAAAATTATTATGATTTTAATAAGTTTAAATAATTTTTGATTCATTATGTGACATATATCATATACTTTTATACAACAAAAAACCAAAAAAAGAAAACCACAACAATGCCAAACGAACCCTTACTTTTAAATTTCAAACTTTAAAATTAACTTGAAATTATTATTTTTTTTAATGAAAAAAATGACAAACAAAAAAAAAAAAAAAACTTTTGGGCGGGAAAATTTTTTATGTGGTGGTGTAATCTATGATTTTTCTTGGGGATTACTTTGGTATTGTACTAATTCTTTGCCCAAGCAATGCTTGGATATTTACAGAAAAAAAAATTTATATTTACATATTACTGTAAGTTTGTATTTGTTTATAGATTTTGTATATATGTAATATTTTATTTATTTAAAGTTTTTATGTTCTATTATTCAATCTATATAATTTTTTTTTTATCAATTATCATATTATTTTTTTAAGGTAAAAAAGGTTTTGGCAGAAATTTTTTTAATGTGGACGCGACACGTGTACTTCTAGGATAATTCTGGTGATTACTTTATTTTTATATACTAGATACTAGATATAAGCCCGTGCGATACATAGTTTTTTTTATACCTAAATCTCTAAGAAAAGATAATTTTCTTAGATAAATCATATAATTGGTCGAAACAATACATTTGCTTATTTGGCGCGCCGAATGCTCTACAAAAATGCGTACTTTATTTATATATATTAGATTATTGATGATTGTCTTAAGAGCAAGTTTAGCCCCAAGTCTTAAGACTTAGACTGACATCATTAATTTGAATCTTAAGACATATGCTTAAGACTTTTCCCATTTTTCTTCAAAAATCTCAAGTAAGTCTCAAGTTGAGTCTTGCAATTCCAAGACTCAACTTAACACTTAAGATTGAGACCCACTTCACCCACTTCACTTTTATTTTTACTAGGTCAGCTAACGCGCGCGATGCGCGCGCATAGCTAGTCATATCTATAAGCTCTTTCAGCTTGGTATTAAAATCACAAATTAATAAAGTAAACAACTTTGTTTATGGGTATAAATGTCCAAGACAACTAACATTAATGCATGAGAGAAAATAAGTACATAATTAAATATTTTAGAGGGTATAATTGTCCAAACACTATTCATTAAAAAACCTTGGACATATTAATTAGGGTATATATGTAAATACACATTTTAAAGGGTATAATTGACATTACACTATTCATACGAGTAATCTTGTACTTTTTATAAGGACTAGGGTAGTTAACGCGCGCGGTGCTCGCGGAGTGACTTGCCCTTTCTTGATGTATATATTGAGTTGTGTTTAAACTCTTTATGACATTGGTTTTTTCCTTCTTGACTTCCTTCTTGTTTTTTCCCCTTTTCAGCGCAGTCAGTTTGGTTTCCTTTCTTTCTAATACATCTATTTTGCTATAATCATCAAATTCATTTCATTGGCCTCAATGTCTGATCATTTAAACAAAATTATGTGTAAGTCGTTATTTTTTTACCTTCATAAAAAAACAACATTTTGCTTGTCTGGTAGATAAAGTTGTCATGCAATTAAACTATAACCCCCATAAATATCGAACATTTTAAATTTATTATTTCATTTTCCATTCAATTTAAATAGTTGATTAGAAAGATCTTTCAAATTCGTATATCTAATGGATTCATCTTATTAATTTTGATGAGGCGAACTTTAAATTTACCTACAGGAAAATTTGCAAATTACAGCCATTTAAAGTTCGTATTTTGCAAATTGTAGCCATTAATTTTTTTTTTTGCAAATTGCAACACAAAAGTTCGTATAAATTGTAAATTGCAGCCTAATTCAACTTTTTCACTGGTTTACATGTCGAAAATTCTTCGATTAAGGTTTTAGGGGCCATTAAGGATCCGAATCGAGCTCGGAATTAGCAAAAAAATAAACATAAGTGTCTCTTTTTCATAGTATCCCACGAATCGATATATTTTGTTACGCAAAACGAGGTACTTATGTTTTTTTTGCTAATTTCGAGCTTAATTCGGATCCTTAAGTGCTAAAATGGCCTCTAAAACCTTAACCGAAGATTTTTCGACATGTAAATGGATATAAAAGTTGAATTGAGCTGCAATTTACAATTTATAGGAACTTTTGGGCTGCAATTTGCAAAAAAAAAAAAAAAATAAAAAAAATTAAAGGGCTGCAATTTGCAAATTTTCCTTACCTATAATATAAAATTGTTTTTCACCACTAGCTGTCAAAAGAACTACTAAGTATTAAATTTAACGATTTAAAAGTTTGGTGGTAAAAAACTTTTAAAAAATTATTCGATATTCATGTCAAAAACATATTGTTTTGAGGTTATATGGGTCAATTTGGTCCTTTGGACCTCATTTGAGGTCATAATTGACTAAACATTATCGAAAATGCCTCGTTTTATGGGTCTGCAAACCGAGGATTTTTAGTAGGCAAAATGAGGTATGTACAATAATTGTAAGTCAATTTTGACTTCAAATCGAACTCAAATGCCAAATTGAGCCCAAAAACATTAAAGAACATGTTTTTGACACGAAAATCAAAGAATTCTTTTAGTTTCGTTAGATTTAATGGTTATTTTGATAGCATGTGATGAAAAACAATTTTTATATATATATATATATATATATATATATATATATATATAAATAATTTTTTCAAAAAAAAAAGTGCATAAATGTAGGGAGAGAAAAAGTTCAACACTCATTACATTTGTACACGTGGAAGAACATAAATGTAAGAAATTACATACGGGGTTAAGAACGTAAATAAACATTTAGAAGGGCATATAGGTCCGTGCACTATTCATAAGTGCAATCTCTTACTTTTTATATGGTAGGGAAGGGTTAATCCTTTTTTTTTTATTTTTTTTATTTTTTATTTTATTAACTTATAATACTACCTCCGTTACAGGTTATGTGCAACGATTAGACATTTTCCCTCTCTGCTTTATGTCAAATCGTTGCACATAACCTGTAACGGAGGTAGTATGTCAAATATTTAAGTTTTAGGGCTAAAGTGATAAATTTGTGTAAGTCTTAGTGAATCTTAACAAGAATTTGATGACATCGTTTTCAATGGGGACCACAAAAAATGATGTCATATCTATGTTTTAATACTTGGGGCTAAACTTGCTCTAAATATATCACTTGAACAAGAATGAAGATATAACCATCGAGAATGTTATTCAAAATTAGAGGTGTCAATTAGGATGATCGGATTAGGTTTAATAAAGTTGGATCCGCTGAGTTGAATCAATTTTTAAAGTTGAATCATGCTAAATTATCGTGTCCACACGATTTAAATCTAAATCGTGTATTGTTCAAGTAAGTTTCAAATGGAATTGGAGGAAGTTTGATTTTGACACCTCTATTCAATATTCCATTCACAAAAGATCACCTCTACTTTTAAAACTTCAAGGCCTCTTTGAGTGTTTTGGGAGTTTGGGACCCCTTAATCTGTTTTGAATCTCTTCCTTTACGACTTTTGAATCTCGTTCAAGATTCTCATTTTCACAATCTCACCTCTTTCCGTCAGCACTCAACAATGAACAAATAACCTACATACACATATAGTCAACCCATTTATTAATTAATTATTTATTTTTATTTATTCATCTGGTCCACTCTAAATTTCCTTGTCCCTTAATTTAAATCTCAAATTGGTTGATGGGTATTTGTTACAAATTAATTCCCACAAAAAGCTTACTCTGCATTTGTAAATTTTGTCAAATTTATTCTGTTTCCATACCCAGAATTGGATTCTTCACTTGGACATGATTTTCATTCTGAAAATTATATTTTGAAGAACAAAAATTAAAATAAACGCAATTTGGGGAACGTGAAACAATCAAATTTGTGGCTTTAAATTTTGTGTTTTTTAATTGATGGGTGTTATGAATGAATATGGAGGACAATGTTTTATGGGTTTCAGAGGTTTAAGAAGACGAAAGCAAGTGGACTCTGAAAATCTCAACATAAATCATGGTCATCAACAATTAGCCAAGAGATTAAATGTTCTTGATCTTGTTGGAATTGGTATATTTTTCCTTTCTTTACTTTTGAATTTTGTTTTTAGTCATGTTTAAATTAATCATTTTTTGTTTATTGTGAATTTGTGATATGATGTTAATGCCATGCTTATGTTACTGTGCTGTTTCAGTATCAATGTTATAGGCAAAGTCAAATCATTTATGTTCGAATTTTTTTTATAGATTGGCATTAATTAATGTTATAGGCAAAGTGGAATCATTTGTGTTTGAGAATTATTTAAAGATTGGAATTTTTGAATTTTTGAATGTTAGAAGGAATGCAAAATTGCTACTAATTTTGAAGAAATTTGTTCATGCTGGATTAGCTTGAAGACTGAATCCACTAATTATTATCTGAAATATGATGTTATGTCACATCTTAGAACTCGGGTTTCTCGGTTTGCTGATAATTTGATAAACAACTTGGGTTTTGAACGAATATATTTGTAAAGTATCCATGGGCGAAAAATAGAAATTAGATGAAGGAATTTATTGAAATTAGATTGTTCTCAGTTTTAAACATCATGCGAAGATTGGATTTTCTTAGCACTAGTTGCCAGGATTTATTTATTAATTTTCAATTTTTTTGGTAACTTAATAAAAATTTGCTAGGTAGGTTCTCCATATTGGTTGTTTTAGCCAAAAAGACTGTAAGTCTAGCTGTTCCAGTCTCCAGTTTGTTGTCTTGTCCTGCATGTTCTTTCATGCCTATCATCCAGCTTCTGTCTTAATGAATATGGTTCAAGCCGAGTCCCAAGTACAAGTGCTATTAGGCCAGGAAAGTCAGCCTGCCTTGTCTCAAACAACCAGTGGTTGGGCTTCTGAGTCTTGCATCTGCAGCACTTATTCATCTGTCAAGTGTCAAATATACGTATATATGGAGTATAATAAATGTATATATGTATATGTGACTTGATTGATATAAGATGAGTTTATTACTCTTTTTCTTCCAACCCTTCACTTTCTGTACGTAGTTCTATATTTAAGGAAATACAAAAGCTACCTGAAAAAATTGTAATTATTGAGAGTGATGTTTGGCTGTATACTTGTGTGGAACTTTGGAAGTGCAAGTTCCATGCTAAACCAAAGCTACATTGTATGAATGCTTTTTTTCCCTGGAACTTGAACTTTAATGTGTACCATGTTCCATCGTAACGTGGTAATCTGCTTACTTAAGAGTGTCGGTTCCTACTTCTTTTGCTCTTTTAGGAACGGAGTATTTGTTACATGTTAGTGTGTGTATTTGACCTTAATTTGTTCTACAAGGTTTATGTACGAACCAAGCAAAGTGTCTATGCAACTTATATCTGCAAGAATGATTCAGGAAAGAACAATTACTTGGACTTTGAAAGCTAAGGAGGGAGTTGAAGTGAATGACTCCTGTGCTACTAAGCACTAAAGCCTAGCTAATTCCTTAAAGATGTATTATTTACATCTTTTTGAGCATTGAGTTCCACTCTCATTTAAATGGAGCCAAACAATTTAGGGTTTTATTTATTTATTTATTTTCTTTCCTTTTCTTTTCCTGATTTATACTAGACCAGATCAAGATTGCTTGTGAAATATGCTTCTCTCTTATTATAAAGTAATGGATGGTCGATTAGTTATGGATCAAGATCAAATGGAGAGGCTAAGTTCATTCAACATCCCTAATTATGCCACAAATTGTATCCTGTTGAGAAAAGCAATAGCATAATGTTGGTGTAAAGAGTTAAGCCAAAGGACAGATTCATGACTGGCTCTTTAAATTCTGTCTAGATTAGGCCTGGTACTGAATAGCTTAGGTATGGCGTAGGATCAGTCTTAGGTGTGGTAGTTCTCAGGCTCTAGGTCAATATTTTCGACCTGAGCCAGACCAATGCACAATAGGTCTTGACTAGTTATATCATGTTTTTAAAGCGGGTCTATTTTCAGAAGAAGCTATAAATTTTGTGACTGGCTCAGAATTAAGCTTGGAACTGAATCGGCTTAGATGGAACAGGTTCATTCTTAGTTGAAGCACTAGTTCATTCTTAGATATGAAATAGGTGCGGTGTTTCACAGGCTCGAGGTTGATAATTCAGTGTGAATAAGACCAATGCACAATAGGCCGCGCTTAGTTGAAGCAGATTTTCAAATTAACTGTTTTCCAAAAGAAGCTAGAAATTCTTGACTGGCTCATCCATCCTGTCTAAATTAGTAAATTAGGCCTGATACTGAATCAGGTTAGATATGACAAAAGTTCAGTGACTTCAGTCTTAGGTGCGGTGGTTCGCAGGTGTAAGGTCAATTTTTTCAGCCTGAACCAGATCAATGCACGATAGACCTTGCCTTGCTAAACTCGATTACAAATGTAAATCTGTTTTACTGAAGAAGCTAATATGCATGCCTGGCATAAACAAGGTCCACAGCCAGTTAATTTTTGGCCAGGACTAGTCTGCCCCAATGCCTTATCCATGATGTGCCCATTTATTGGGGAAATTTTGGCAAATTCCAGTCTGAACTATGGCCAATCCTATATGAACTAGCCCATGGCTAGCTATAGCTGATAATGTTGTTAACTAGTGGTGAGTTCCTTTGTTTAGAGCTCTCTTCTACTCATATTTCCATTATTAGATGAAGTTTTCTTCCAAAATATATCACCAACAAAAGAGACACTAAGATGTCTTTTTAGACTATGATAACAAGAGGTTTGTTCATCTGCTAAGTTGCCAGAACTCAAGTACCCATGTCCAACTCGGCTTTTTGTGGAAACGTTTTATGATTAGGGTCCAAAATGAAGGGTGTAAGTGTCCTACCCATTTCTGAATGTTTAGGATCCAACATGAATATTTGAGGTAAAGTGAAGTGTATGAGTAACATAGCGATATCTGCATATTTATCTTCACATCTCTCTCTCTCTCTCTTTCTGTGTGTGTGTGTGTGTGTGTGTGTGTGTAGTATTCAGTAGTAATTTAAATTCTTAGATTCTGATTTACATTTAATTTGTATGTGCTGCAGGTGTTGGAACCACTATTGGTGCTGGGGTTTATATCCTTATTGGAACTGTTGCAAGAGAACAGACAGGCCCTGCCCTTCCTATTGCTTTCTTGATAGCTGGAGTTGCGGCTGCCTTGTCTGCAATTTGCTACACAGAGCTTTCCTGCCGTTGCCCTTCAGCTGGAAGTGCTTACCATTATTCATACATATGTATTGGGGAAGGGTAAGTCATTGTTTTTCTGATAATAATAATGTCTGAGATGCTTTATTTATGTGCTTTTTGATGAACCCTTGCTTTTAAATGTGTTAGATCTTGCTATGAATTTTTCTACATATGACTGTCAACTGGTGTATTTCATAATTGATTGCAGTGTTGCATGGATAATTGGTTGGGGTCTAACGCTGGAGTATGCCATTGGTGCTTCAGTTGTTGCTCGTGGTGTATCCCCAAATTTGGTACTGTATTGTTTTTCTTCATGTTTATGTGAATTATGTCCAATTTATGTTGGTTTGCATTGTTGCCACTGAACAAGCATTGTTTCCATTTTAATAGTAAATTATTTAGGTTATTAGTCACTGACACATCCAGTCATATTCCAAGATCCAAGGAGTTAGAACCTGCAGAAATTCAGAAAATGCTATCATTTGGCATATGTACTGATTGCAGTGCTAGAACATCTAGGGTCTCATATCAACAATTTAATTAATTATGGATTGATGGGAATAAGTTGAAGAAATATGCTTCTTAAATTAATATTGGATCCATAGACTTTTATTTTCTACATATTGGGAGAATAAATAAGACCACTGGATGACTTGCTTCCACCAGATGTAGAAAGCATACTGCTGCCTTCTTATACTAGATTTTGCTGTGGTTTCAGGCCTTATATTTTGGAGGAGAGGGTAATCTGCCGGTATTCCTTGCGCGTCATACAATATTTGGCATTGTAGTTGATCCGTGTGCTGCAGCCTTGGTCATCATAGCCACAATACTCTTGTGCACTGGAATAAAGGAAGTATGTGTAAATCTATTTCAGAGAAGCAGCAGCTTTGTCTAATTTTCTTGTAGAACCCAAAATTAAGGATCATTAATATCTCAGTAATAGTGTGTTTTTTTTTTTTGGTTCCAGAGTACCTTGGCTCAGACAATTGTTACATCTATAAATGTTTGCGCATTACTTTTTGTTATTGTGGCTGGTGGGTACCTCGCCTTCATGAATGGATGGGTGGGATATGAACTTTCGAGTGGGTTAGTAGCTTCCTTATGTGAATGCTATTACAAAAATGTAATTTAATAATCAAATCAGTTGATAATTTTGAGTTCTTTGTCTGATTCAGATACTTACCTTTTGGTATAAACGGAGTGCTTGGCGGATCTGCAACTGTATTCTTTTCATATATTGGGTTTGATTCGGTTACTGCCACTGCCGAGGAGGTAATAAATAGTACTCCTAATTTTTAAATACTTTTGATTTGAATGTAGAGGATCCAAGTATGTGAAAAGCGGTAGGCTGAAATTACACCTTTTGATTTGTTCAACAGGCTATGTTTGACCGTTGTTTTTTTTAATATATTGTATTATTATTATTATTTTTTGAATTCCTTGGATATTGGTGGTGCAGGTTAAAAATCCGAAGAAAGACTTACCCTTGGGAATAGGGATCTCGTTATTCTTGAGTTGTGTACTTTATATGATTCTTTCTTTTATTATTGTCGGTCTAGTTCCTTATTATGATTTGGATAAGGACACCCCGATTTCATCTGCATTCTCTGTGTATGGCGTAGAATGGGCAGCGTAAGTTTTATATCCCTTTGTTGTCTATGTTATGACATTGATATATAATACCCTGAGAATAATAACTGTGAATGGTTATTCACTTGGTTTATTTTTTTGGTTGTCAAGTGCAGTTTAATAGTGACAACTGGAGCAGTTATGGCCCTGCTTGCATCATTGATGGGGTCTCTTCTTCCTCAGGTATGCATTTGATTACAACTAAGTCTTTTGTTTCGATAACCTTCTAAAGATTTTTTAAAGTATAACCATTTATAATAGAAGAAAAAATTGGTTAAGGTCAATTTGTCATGCAATTACCAATTGAAATTGAAGTGCTCCAACCAGTAAAAAACCTGACTATAAGCTTACACAACCTGACTTGACTGGACTGTTTGACATGTCTGTTCCGGAGCCAAAGGGAATTTTGTGGGTGGTGGTAGTGGTGTTGGTAGCTGAGAAGAGAGGAAGGTGGGATTAAATGAAAGATGAGGAGATATTGAAGAAGATGATCGTGAGAGAAGGCGGTGGAACTTTAAGCGGCAAATAGTTATAAATGATGTCAAAATTTCTATCTAGTTCAATGGATAACTTTTATGTCTTGAAATAAATTTTCTATCTAGTTCAATGTTACAATTTTCTATCTAATTTAATGGACAACTTAAGGAAGTTGCTTAGATGTCAGGGTCATTTCTCGAAATGACTCTTAAGTAAAGCAGAATTATCTTTACTATGCTAATTAGTTACTGTGCTTATCTGTCCAGTCTCGAATTCTGATGGCCATGGCTAGAGATGGCTTGTTACCATCCTTCTTTTCTGTTATTGATAAACGGACCCAAGTTCCGGTGAAGGGAACAATTGCTGTTGGTATTCTTGCTGCTGTAATTGCATTCTGTATGGACGTGGATGAATTGGCTGGAATGGTATGTTTACATTACTAGGCAATTTAAAGATGGTGAATGCTTCCTGTGGTGGATTATAATTTGGGCACATAAGCACATGCTGATTTTTAAATGCAGGTCAGTGTGGGTACATTGCTCGCATTTACTTCAGTTGCATTATCAGTACTAGTGATCAGATATATTCCACCAATTGAAGTACATCCCCTACCATCTGCTGGAGAATCTTCTTCTTCAGGTGGCCATGGTCAGAATATGCAGGGAGCTGATGAGGCAGTTGTTAAAGATCCTTTTATTTCATCGGGGGATGATTGTCGAGGCTTAATTCTGAACAGAGACCCATGTCATGGAGCATCTGTTGACCAAGAAACAAATTTAGGTAATAACAATACTACAGGAGGCAATGATTTCAAAGTGTATTGCTCAGTTTTACTTGAGTTTGCTTTCCAAGTCAAGTTCTTTCTTTCCCCTTTACTTCAGTGCTTGCTTTTTGAGGTGCCTTTCCTGACACCTTGAGCACAAAGAGCAACACATTTTGTATGATCTGTTTCTCCATTAGTGCTAGTTAGGAGAAAAACCAAAAAATAAGAATCCATTTGAAAGCCTTTCAGGCATGTTTTGACCTTTTATTCCCTTCCACATTCTTCCTAAAGATATTTTGAATTTATTGTACAAGAAGACAACCAAAAGGGGCAGAGAAGACGACAGTTGGCTGCATGGTTGGTAACTATTATTTGCATAGGTGTCATTGTGTTTACATCTTCGGCTTCAGAAGCATTCCCTCCCAGGTATTTTGTCTTCAAATTGAATTATTTTTTTGAATTGATGGGGAAGCATGTGCCATTTAAGCTAGTATTTAAGATGCTTTCTAGTATGTCTTGTTAAGTAATACTCCGTATAAAAGAGGCAAGGACAGAGAGTAATCAACTTGGCTGTCCAAAAAATGGATATGTAATTTTGTGTAGCTCCTGCATACAAAGAAATTTTGTCTTTCATCTTGCATCTATTGTCATCATAAAACCTTTTTCTTTAATACCTATTCATTTTCAATACTATCTTCTTGTTTTCAGTTTTAGGATGTCCCATTTTAAATTTTAATCTTCTTGTTTTCCCTATGAATACTTCGTAAAAGTTTGCTTCTCTTTCCGTTAAATTTAACTTTTTCTATTTCCAAATCATCACTTTTATAAACTTTTTCTCCATTCACTTTCGACTTTTGTTCTATTTTATTTTACATTGAACCCTTTTTTTTTTTTTTTTTTTTTTTTTTCTACATAATAGCAAACAAGAAGATTAATATAGCAATTTCTTTGGCCATTCACAAGCTGAAATTGATGGCTGATGCTATCCTACTCTACTAGTTCTTAAAATGAATTACTGAATCTATGGTGTTATATTCAAGCTGCTCTTTTCAATTTATTGATCTTAGTCTTAAAGTTTAAATGTAGCAATGTAGAGCTCTCTTTACTATTTTCTGTTAATATTAGGAATGGTAAAGGAGCTAAATTGTGTCATGTACTTATAATGAGAGCTAATTATGGTTTAGCAGTTCTGTGTTATGGTGAAGGATCGTTCTTATGCCACATGGTTTATCATCTTATCTGTGATGTAATTCTTTGTTTATGTACTGCCAGCTCCTCTTGCATCATACTCTGTGGAATTGGTGGTGCTATATTTTTGGCTGGGACAACTGGCCTTGTATTCATTGGTCAAGATGATGCAGCAGGCGTATTCGGACACACAGGAGGTAAACTAGAAATGTCCTATCACGTCATCTCTGACTCTGCAAGGCCTAGCAATATTAAGATTGAACTTTAGAGCTTGATCTTTTCATGACCTTTTTCTCTCTCTCTCTTTTTTTTTTTTAATCATCTGACATTTGTAAGTTCTTTTTTTCTATTTCCTGTCTTCAGGCTTTATATGCCCATTTGTTCCATACCTGCCAGCTGCCTGTATGCTTTTGAATATGTACCTTCTTATAAATCTTGGGTGAGTATCTTCTTAATAATCTGATGTTCATAGTGTAGCTTAGTTATGGAAAATCATCATTATTTTCCTTCAGATGCTTACAAGGGAACTGACTTTGATTTCACTTTTGGCAGCATTGGGACTTAGATTCGTGTTTCAGTATGGCTGCTTCTAGGAGCTTTAGTTTACCTCTTCTATGGCCGAACACACAGCTTACTGTTGGAAGCATCATATGTGCCCATTACTCGTACAGAAGATATATACTCCCCCTAATCAAAGTATTATTAGTTTCATCCTGTCTATTGGCCAGTGGCCACTCTGTCCCTTTCCTGAACTTCTCTGGTGAATTTCATTTCATTGTTGCTGGGATGGGACTTGGGAGAACCACTGCCTGTCGATTTGTTGCTATCATGTGCATATATATTTGGAAAAATCATAGGCAATAAGCCAATAATGTATATCAACTTGTACAGTCAAAGTATACAGAAGTTGTTACCAAGGGTGTTCTGAGTCAAAACAACACCCCATTCAAGAAACCATTATAGGGAAACCATGTTCAACAAGACAATAGGTATACAATGTAGTGCTTTATCCGAATTGAAAACATTTTATTTGACATTGGACATAGATTTTATTATTATATTTATTCATTAATTTATTTTTTGAACAATTTTGAGTGGAAATGTGAAAATATTGAAGTTTTAAATTAGATATATCACTCGTTTATAGGTGTTTCCTCTATAATTTTTCTCTCTAGAGTTTTTTTTTTTTTAAAAGTATTACATAGGCCGGAAATAGTCAAATTTCTTCGAAAATTTGCCTATTTTTGACCCTTTCACTTTATTAAGTACCCCTATGGTGGGTTTGAGTATAGTAAGTACTCCTATGGTGGGTTCTGTTCGAGTTTTGTTTTTATTTTTTGAGTTCAGTATGCTAGAAGTTGTTTCATGGGTAAAGATTTGTGCGAGATTGAGAAAGAGATTAATACTTCGATTGTAATCAGTTGAATCAGACTTCACGACTACAACAAATCGATAGACCCCTCGTCGAAGAAGGTTGTAAATCACAACGATATGAAAGAGGGTATGCATAATGTACGATTGCAACAACAATCGTAGCTTTGCTGAAAGGAAGCTCTTATTTTATTCAATTTTCATGTATGTATTAGATAATTTTTTTTTTGAAGGCATTAGATTTAAATATCTTTATAGATGTCGTATGACTTTTTATATATGAATCAATATTTATTAAAAAAAAGGAAATTTTGGATTTTAACACCTGCAAAAAAAAAAATCCCAAAATGGTTTTTTCACACCCCATTAAAAATAAAAATAAAATTAATTTTAGCACAAGACAAATTTTTAAAAAATGGGTTTTATCCCCACTTAACGATTTTCGTTTAAAAATTCCGTTAAGTGGGATGCACAGTGACTCATGTCAACATTTTATTTGTTTTAAAAAAAATAAAAAGAAAAGAAAATTTTAAAAAAAAATAAAAAAACCTAAATCTACCCAGCCTCACCACCACCCCGCCTCGCCCCAGCCCCATCACCACCCCACTGCTGCCACCTTCACCCAACGTTGTCGGCGGGCGGTGCATCCCCCCTCCCTTCCCCAACTCACCTGAACATTTTATACATAATATAGTCTCATAAACAGTCTCATAAATAGTCTCATAAAATATTTTTAGTTCAAAACATTTTATACATAATATAGTCTCATAAATAGTTTAACACTCAACCAAGTTCAAATAGTCACATAACATATTATTACCTTATTTAAGAAAGGGAAAGAGAACGCCAGTAAGCCGGGACTAGTTCCTGTCACCACCTACTTTACAGAGGGTCGCGCGTAACCCCAATTGGCCATAAAATAAAACAGAATGTCCCTAGTGTGCACACCCCTCACTAATACCCAGTGATGAGGAGGAAGACTAACAACAATATACAATAATTTAAACCAACTAGTAAACCATCACTACTAGTGGGCAACCTGTTCTTCACCCTTTTGGGTTTCATTTCCCTTCTTAAATGAAATTTCACTGTACATTTTATTAGATTATATCATCCAATTACACTGGACACAAGTATTGCACAAATCAATTTAATTTCAAGTAACAATACTTCAATTTCAGTATTATTAGACCATAGTCATCCTACATGACATATAGACCATCAATCACGTATAATCAATCATCCACTACCCAAGATTATAAAAAAACTCATACGATGACAAATAATCATATTTTTCGAAATTACATATACTAGTGCACAAAATAGAAAACTCATATATAATATATGATTCCATAATATCATACGATAGCACACTCATCACATATAATTACATAAGCACGTATTTGACACATAATATTTCAAAATAATTTCCTAACAGGATTCTAAAGATGATGGACATTGAAAATTACCTTGATCGTGTGTAAAACTCAAGGTAATTAACCTTCGGAACGGACACCTAGTAGCCTCCGTCTACAAATAAACGATTCTAAGTTAGATAATTATACGATTATATAAAAAAAAATTGAGCGTGCACAATCCATAATTTAGACACCCCACAAACAAAATATAAACAACTAATTCTAGAGTTAAAGAACGTATTATATCATCATCATCACCATGATTATCATCATCACCATCACCGTCCAAACCCCAAATCCACTAAATCAATATAGAGTAACCCAAAATCCACTAAATGAATACAAAGTTTATTTATGTATTTATTTTTTTTTTAAAAAATCAATCAACTCAAAAATCCAACGGACCAAATATTAAAACTAAAGCAAGATGGTAAGTGACGAGTTGCAGGTGACTTCCGAACTCGGCAAATTCGGCTTTGAATTTTTTTTTTTATTTTTTTTTTTATTTGAAGAGATAGTTTATCTGAGAAAAGATTGAAAGTACGGCATTGAAATTTGAGGTTAAGGGGGCTTTATATAATTTGAGTTGTTTAGCATTCTAGAAATTTCACAAGATAAGGATCAAACTTATCTTGAGTTTGTTACATAAACTCAGTAAACATATTTTCAAAATTCCTTTTTATCAGCTTTCAAACCAATCTCTGTATGTTATCCAAAATCAGTGTTTTTTTTTTTTTTTTTTTTTTTTTTTTTTTTTTTTTTCAATTCCGATAATAATAATAATAATAATTTTTACAATTTGAAAATAATAATAATTAGTTTTAAAGTTTATTTATTTATTTTTGAAAATAAATCGTTGCTTCGTCCCCAAAACTCTCCATCTCCAAAACGACCATGAATCCGGCCACAAATTGCCGAAATCGGCCTGTTTTGGGGCTGAGTGGCCTTAACCGGCCATTTGTGGCCGGATTCTTGGCCATTTTGGGGGAAGGAGGGTTTTGGTTTGGTGGTTTTTGGGGCCGATTACGATTGCGGGAAAGGGAAGGGGAGGGTTCAAGTGGATTGGGGGAGGGAGGGGAAAGAGATGCGCTGCCGGCTGCCCGCTAGCAACGTTGGTGAAGGTGGCAGTGGTGGGGCTGGGGTGGATGGGTAGATTTAGGTTTTTTATTTAATTTTTGTTTTTAATTTTTGTTTTTTTTTTCTGTTTTTGGCCAATAATAAAGCGACACATGACTTTATGGCCCCACTTAACGGATTCTTGAACAGAATTAGTTAAGTGGTGGTAAAATCAAATTTTTGAAAAATGTTATGGTGTTAAAATTTATTGTTTTTTTTATGAGGGTGTTAAAAACCATTTTGGGGTATTTTGATAGTGTTCAAATCTAAAATTTTCTTAAAAAAAATACATATATAATTTTTTTTTAATTAATAAATTCTCTCTATCTCTCATATCAGATGAGTTTTTAATTTTTCTTGTTTTTGCAATGATACAATTCATGCACTTATAAAAAGGAAAAAAAGTATACACTCGTTTAACTTTGTAGAAGTACAATATAAAAATTGCGTAGAAGGTGGTTTTTGTTAATTACTTTCTCATCTAATCTAATCTCATAATATTGATAATTAAACTCACTCACCGACACGATAACTATAGAATATATAAAACTTTAATTCTCTCATTGCAACATAAATATCATTAATCATTTATCTCTTATTTTCCTCGAGTTTTTCATTAAACATTAAAACCACCTTAAATTAACAAACCCTAACTTGAGTTTGCTCATATGCCTAATAATTGTTAAAAATGCAGAACAAAATATAAGTAAAGCATTAAAAAAAAAATTGTTTAAAATGCCAAAAAAATGGAAATAAATAACTCAAGGTGGAAGAGGTAAAAATTACCAACATAATTGGAGGTTGAAGGGGAGGAGAGATGCAGGGCTGTAATCCCCCGTATTTTTTTTAAATATTTTATAAATAAAATTTATTTTATTTATAATATTTATTTGTTATTTTCCAAAATTTAATTTTAAAAGTTTCAAATTATTAATCTGGGTCGAAAATTATTTGAACAAATTATTTTATGCACCTTTATTCTACAATTTATGTCCAATCAAATAAGCCTAACCCATTTGTTTACTTAATTGACCCATTATTTTTATGAGGCCCAATCTTTCTATTTATCCTACCTACAATATTCTCCCCTATAAATACCCCATGAATCCCCAAAATTTTCCCACACAAAAAGGTTAGTCTTATTTTCTTTCTCCTTTGTTTTATTAATTTGTGTAATTATAATTATTGATTTATGGGTTTTGATTTTATTGTTTGAAATTAATTTAATTAGTATCAAGTTGTATTTTGATGATTAAACTTTATAATTTCAGGTTTTATAAATGTCGTAATTTTCAGATTTTGTAAATTTTATACCCTAGGGTTTTTAATTATTGAAAATCATGATTTTAGGGTTTTTATGAACAATTGATTTGGGGCTTTTATGGTAATGATGTTTTGAAATTTTGGTGGTTATAACTAATGATTAGTTTAATTTAATTCCAGATTATTTTGAACACTTAAATTCGTGTTTTAATTTTTAGATTTCCATTCGTTAATATTAATCCCGTTTTAATCCCGGTCGGGTTCTGAACTCATCCGATTTTGACAAAAAAGTAGTGTTTTCCATGTGGAAACAACGTTTTAAGAAAGACTTGTTAAATTGTTTGGTTATACATTGTGAATTTCGTATGATGTGCACTACTTTATATTGCAAGTATTATTTGTGCTCTAATTATGCAAGGTGCGCTTAGAGGCAAAGGTATGTGATTGGTGTAATGATTAATTTATTACTCATTCATGATTATGCAAACAATATGAGTAAAGGAAGAATTAAAGTCTTATAAGACGAGGTTAAGGTTTTGGGGTGCCTTTATGCACTCAAGGTGTTTATACACCGAGGTAGTTAAAGGAATAAATAATAAATGTTGCTTGTCACTAATAAATCAAGATTTGAAATTGAAAAGTAGTTTTACTTGATTGAATTGATATTGGATTGATTGTATTGTTTGCATATGAGTCATCACCAAGTCTAAACCTGTAAATCACGTAAAGTGCAAGATGAATGAGCAATAAAACTCTGGATTGGTGCACTTCTGGAGTAATGACAATCAGGGGTTGGGGTACACGGGGTATTAGCCGTGTACTTTTATCGAGGTCGTCTGATCTACGAGTCTCCTACTTCAAATATTATTTTCTAAAACTAGGAGTTAGGTGAGATCTCATACTAACTACGGTCACGGAGTCGCGCCCGTGGTCGTTGGATGTTTATTGATGTTTCCGAAAGGAGGCATGGGGTTTTTCTTTTATTGATGTTCCAAATGGGACATGGGTTGGACAACCTTGTCTATTGCTAAATCCAATGAAATAAATAAATGAGTTAGTTAATATCAACTAGTGAGGTCTTAATAAATTTGATAATTGAGTCATGTGTTGAGTCTGTATTTAATTAATGTTGCTTATGCTTGATTATTAGTAGCATGTTAGGTATTTTCTTAATTTATTTCGCAGTTTGTATGTACTCAGCTTTGCTGATTGTGTGCTTTTGTGTATGTCTTTCTTTGGTCATGGCCTTCGCCTTTCAATGACCCTGTGACGATCCAATTTTTACACTTGTAATATTGGGGAGCAGATTAACCACAGGTTCTTACACATGCAACATCTATTTTTAGATGGTGGGATCTTGAGTGAAGAGTTGGTTTCTTTTCTTTTTTTATTTACTATTTACAATTAAAGTTATTTAAACTCAATTTTGCTTTCATACTATTTCTATTTGTCTCAGTTTTGAATAAGGGCCTTAAGGGTTCCAAGTTGTAAGATTTAATTTGGTTTTGTTTATTGGTTTTAAAACTTATTTATAACTGAGTTAGTTTTTTCGCTGCTATTTTCTGATAAAGCCTTAACGTTTGAACACGTGGCGGTAGCACGCCAGTAATTCTCTTGAATGTTGTTCAGGGTCCTCACAGGTTTAAAGAGAGAATTATTGGGGTGTTACAAAGGCAGAGGACGGCCGTGTGGAGGAGGGAAGCAGCCGTGGCTATATATGGACGGCGCAGCGGCAGTGGCGGAGGAGGGAAGCACGCAGCTATGGCTCTCGTGCCTTGAAGTTCTCCGGTGCTCGCTGCTGTGGTTTGAAGTTCTCTCGTGATTGTGGACGGCGCGGCGGTAATGTCAGAGGGTGTTGAGAAGGTGGTCAGCGTTGCAGGTGAGGGCGGTGGTGGAGGGTTTTCTAATTGAAGGGTCATGAGTGAGTAAGTAAGTGCTCAAAAAATGAAAGAGGAGGGAACAAACAGTGGGTGTAGCTCAAAAATTAACATGCAGAGGGGAAAGAGAAAGAAATCGGTGGCCTTTAACTAATATGGCACAGATTTGGTTTGAACCGGTGCCAATTCCCTTCAACCCGATCCCAGCCATTTAAAAACCAGTGGGCATTATTCGGTGCCCAATTGCAATTTTCTACTAGTGAAATGGAGAGAACAAAGAAAAACAAATCAAATAACAAAAAAGCGAATTAAATCAAAGAAAAAGGGTCGGAAATAGTCTAATTTCCGAACAAGGCCTAAACAGCCAAGAAAAATAAAAACCTTAGAAAGAGAGGAGAAAGAAGAGAGAAAAGAGAAAAAGAGAGAAGAGGGAGGTGGGGTATCTAGATTTATTATATTACAAATGTGACACTTGTGATTTTTTCAGGAGGTGGTGCAAGGGGCACATGGAGCAACACCAAACAAATTGAGAAAAACATAGTAACAACGCAGAGAATGAGGATGTTAAAAGAAAACTCAAGATTAATTAAAGAGATGTGCAAATTGAAGGATAAGCTAAAAGGCAATAAAAGTTCCAAGCTACGACAATCTAAATAAGGATTTTAATATTTATGTTTCTAAAAAATTTGTAATCATATAATCATGCATCACTTTGGAAAAAAATACAAGAGTATTATTAAGGAAAATTTGACTTTTGCTACCACTAAAATACAACACTTTGATTTTTACTACCTAACTAAAATTTTATTTTATTTTACTACCACCCTAAACCAAAAAATATAGGTTTTGCTACCACTCACAACTTCTGTTACAATTTATGTTTATGGGGTCCACTTAGATGTAACACAGTATTGTCACCCATTCTAAATCAATCACACAAATAAAGAACATAAAAGATGTATAAAATTCATGCCCTAACATCATCAATCAAATATCCCAGAAAAATTACTATTGTATTCCAACAATTATACAATATTACTCACACAAATGAACCAACATAAACAACAACATTAAGAGCAAATGAGTATTAAACCCTACAAAATCGAAAAACAGAGCAACACAAATAAAGCAGAAATAAATACATATTTTACTTTGAATCGCACTATAAGTGGTAATTTCTTCAAAAGATCAAACCTTGATGACAATCGCAAACATCTTTTATCAAAATCCATCCAAAAATTCACCCAAATCCCTCGAAAATCCAACCCAAATTATCCCCTATATTTCTTAGACTTGCAAACAAACCCAACAACAAATGCAACTTCAAATTCCCTCAAATTACCCAAATTTTCAGATAACTTAACTTAAAATCTTTGTTCTAAAATTTTGAAGGTTTTTATTTATTTTTATTTTTTAAAATGAGGTTGAAGGATTTAAATGTAGATGATGAAGTGTGATGGTTTTACTTAGTGAATATGATTAGACACATATGGTTGACTTTTTCAATAGGGGCATTTAAGTCATTTATCTTTTCCCTCCCTTTTAAAACGCTGACCATTGTTAATAATTCATTAACTTGCTTAACTATTGTTACCACTGAATTACTAACACTAATAGTTGATTACCAAAGATAATTTGCTTTTTTGTTGTTTACCACTGAGGGAAAAAAAAATTAAATTAAAAACCTTCAGAGCATCATTGAAAGTTTCTCAAAAAAGGGGTTGTTAAACACCACCCTCAAATCTACAAGTAACGCCCACAAAATAAATCTAAATTTATAAATTTACTCTTATGTATAGCTAAATTGTTTTTAGTTACTATCATCTCCAATCACACCAACACCCAATTCACTCCACTCCAAAAACTTTCACCAACACCACCACTAGTCAATCCCCACCACCACCTCTCCCTTTATTTACAAATCACCAACACCCACACCACGAAAACATTTCAATGTAGATCTACGCATCACCATCGTGCGAAAATGCCAAAGAAAGACAAGGGGAGGCTGATGTGGAGGATGTCGGAACGTCAAAGGTTTTTTTTTTTTGGTTTCTGAAATGGGAAGAAACGCCTAATATTTTCGAAATCTCCAGGTGGAAATACCCAGAAATTTTGAAACACCGTCCGACATCCAAAATTTTTGGGTGTTTCCTACTCTACTGTGCGAAGAAATGGGCATTTTGCCCTGAATGTTGTTGTCATTACGGTTTTATATATTATTGTTAGTAATATTATTATCAATAATATTATTGTTTTTGGAAGTATTGAGTAGTACTCCCTCCGTCCCTAAATTACATTCCTCTTTCTCTCTATTACGTGAAGAATAAATGCTAGAAAGAGGAAAGTAATTTAGGGATGGAGGGAGTATTATTGTTAGATTTTGTAAAATTGAAAGTTTCATTTATACATCAGCTGTGATAATCCAGTCAAATTCCTTCTCCTTCCAAAGCCTGTTTTAATAATATTACGGAGTATTGTTTTTGTTTTTGTTTTTTTTAACAAAGTATTGTTTTGACTAATATTGTCATTAAATTTATTTTTGTTAGATTTTGTAAAATTGGAATTCTTTGGTTGATTTTGAAAGTTATGTTGGCTGATTGATGGTCCTTGGTGGCTGGTGACTAGTTGATGTGATCAGTCAAAATATTTGAGGTAAATTTGATTTGTTTTATAGCAAGTGTAATCCCCCGTGATTTAAGAGTAAATTTTAATATACTTCTTTATTATATAAATGATTATTTTATCTCATTTTCATTAAATAAATTATTTTATGCAAAATTTATTTGAATCATGTTATTAATATGCACAAATTTAATTTATATTCCTCTTCCTGTGCACCAACCCATTTTGTTTATAATATTGCTAGCCCACTTTAGAATAAAGAAAGCTTACACTATTCTTCAAGCCCAATTATAAAATTCTACTCTTACTTAAACCTGGAAACCAAGTCCATATAAAAACCCCCAAAAACCCTCAAACTCTCCTCTATCTCATGTAATCCCCTTTTCCCTCTTACTGCCTTTCCCCTTCTCCCTTTTGTTGTTCACGATCAACAAAAAAAAAAAGGAAGCCTAGCCAACGCCATTGCTCACAGCTGCCGCCGCCCGCAATCTTCAACCACCACTGCGCTTAGTGGTTGATCCAGGATTTTATGGGTGCTGGTTACCGTCATCAATCAATCCAAAGGGTTGATTTTGTGAAGGATGATTTTGTGATGGAGGATGATGAATTTAAGGACTAAAGAAACTTGTTATATCATATGTGTTTTTCCTTTTTCATTCTAAAAATTAAGTTACAACACTAATACAAAACTAACCTTAAGTAACACCCAAAAAGTGTTACATAATGTGGCAAAAGTGTTATTATAGACAATAGGTAACACTTTATTGGGTGATACTTCCGCCCATGTTACCTTAGATCTTATGTAACACTTTGGGTAACTTATGGTAACACTTTGGGTAACTAAACCCTCTTATGTAGCACTTGTTATATTATTAGTATCATTTTTAAAATGTTACTTTTTATATCTTATGTAACACTTACTTATCATTGGTAACATTTTTCAATCATATAGTATCACTTATTCCGAATTAAGTATCACTTTTTCGAACTAATATAACACTTTGTTGATTATTAGGTAACATTTTTAAATCATCTTTTGACATACAGTATCACTTTATTAGACATTATGTATCACTTTTTGCAAACTAATGTAACACCTTATTAATTTATAGGTATTATTATTATTATTATTTAAAATATTCAATTTATTTAGTTTAAAAATAAAAATTATATTAACATATACAACTACAAATGTGAAATTAATATATACAAGAGAATAATTTGAATTGGTATTATTTCATAGTTTCATTACAAAAAAAAAAAAAAAAAAATACATAAACACCAATTTTTTTTTTATTTGTCTAAATTTTCTAAACAAAAAGATAGTTAAATTTGGTCTCTAAACAACCATATTCCAAAATACTCCGTAGAAAGAGAAAAATAATAGTCAGTCTAGTAGAAAGCAGTCACCAGTAGACCAGTAGTAACATCAGCTAGCAACAGCTAGCGGTAGTAGCAAACAACAACAACTAGTAGTAACATCGAACAACAGAAGCTAACAGTACCAGCAGCTATCATCAGACATCAGTACTAGTAGTTTACAGCAGCAAAAGCAGTTTACAGCAGCATATAGCAGCAGAAGCAGTTTACAGCAGCATACAACAGCAGACAGTAGTAATAGCTGTAGTAGTGACAACAGTAACAGTGAGAGCAACAACAACACTAGATGTCTGCTACAAATTCTTTAAGGGAGGCTAATAATGTTGATTTGGAACTAAAGTCAACTGGCACAATAAGAAATAAAGAAACAGTTAGTGAGCCATTTGATCCATTTAAAGCCTATAGCTTTAAAATGATCTAGGCTGCATAAAGTGTAGGATTTTTTATTGAACTAAAAAAGGATAATGTATTGCAGGATTAATGAAAAGTAGACTATTAATGTTAATTTTGAGCTATTTGGCTTAATTCTTAGAGCTTAATCTTGCAAAAGCCATTCAAACCAAACCGTTGAAACACATAACTCAAAAATGATATAAGCGTGTGTAACCTATTTGTAGATTAAATTCTGATAAATTATTGCTGACGTATAGAGTGAAATTCCAATAATATAGCATATGTTATTTTACTACTGCCACATTGCCAATATCTATCTAAAAAGGTGAAATTTTCTTTTAAATTAAGAACAATTCTATCAAACTGACCAAGATTTGTAAGTGCATATATGATAATATGAAGGGAGCTATTGTCAAAACAACAAATTAATGTCATACAATTAAACTTCTATAAATTAAGAACAACATACAATAGAAATATAACTAACCAAAAAAGACCTTGAGAATGGGGGAAAGTAACAGTCACATTGGTGGCGTTACAAATTTGTTTAGCTAGGCAGGCCGTATAAGATAAATCACCCTCACCAACCGCAAGTATCCTCTGCTTAATCCTATCATGCATTTTTGTTTATCAGTTTAGTCACTGATAATAATTTGTTTTTTCCTAAGTATTCACTGCCCTTTTTCTATGTGCCCCTAAATTTGTTTTAGGCAATGGATATTTATTCTTATCAATCATAACCACTAATATATATATGAGCTTTTGGCAGTTGTAAAGATCTGTTTTTCAATTTCCTCTCTAAAGTAGTGGAAGTTTTAATTATATAACTGTCAAATGGATTAGTCACCCTTAATTCTAGGAACATGGCTGTTAAGAGGACAGAGAAAATCTTTGAAATAGAGAAAGAAGTACCTGTTATTGCGAATGTGACCATGGTGACAACAAAAATGATGTTGAAGAGGTGCTTGGGGTGCTTCAGATCTCCATCAGACAGAGTAAGATGAAAAGTTATGCCAGAGTAACTGATAGTTGTAGAAGTGAAAGAGGTAAATAAAGAAGTATACTCATATGATTTACACGTGAGGGTAAATACGTAAATAAACTTTTTGAGGGGTATTAAAGTCCTCACACTGTTTCTTATATTGCTAAGGGGCTATTGATACTTAGTGTTTGGAATTTTGTTTCTGCATTTCACACCACCCTGCATCACATTATCTGATTTAGAGTACCTATATAGCTTCTGAACTGTCAAGTTGTGATGTGCATTGAAACACAAGAGAGGTATTGATTAATTTAAGCATCACTCACCCAAAGACCAAATCTGAACAAGAATTTTCAATATAATAAGCCCAGATTTGTGTTTGATAATGCATATCCTTAGCTTGTAAATAACTTCCATATAGCTATTTTAAGTCACTAAGTTGTAACAAAAGAATTCTCACACCTACATAAACACAACAGTTTCAAGAATCAAGAGACACCTACCTGATCCATATAAAATTCACCCAAGTTTCTGAAATAATGAGATAACAGCCTTAGCAGTACTGGATGCATCCTTTTTCGTTGGCTTGATGATACTCCATGACCATTAAAACACAACGTATCAGTCATAATTAGGAATTTTGCAGATAAACCATGCCATCTAACCTAAATTTATGACTCAAACTCATAATGGGCAGACAACAAAACAATATAAATAAAGAAGAACTGCTTGAATACGTTCAAATTGGTAATCACATAAGAATTTTACATATATCAACATATAACCAATTATTGTTCCACAATTATCAACATATATAATTATTCATAGCAATTAATAGAAGATGCAATAGCCCAAAGATAGATTGTATTAATATTCAGTGTGAACTCAACACAATTTCCTTTTTTTAAGAGGAAGGAATTCTCTTCCAAAACTTCTACTTACAACTTTTCTGAATGATCTTACATTCTTACTACCCTTCCCTCCCTTCAATTTATTACAATATTCCCTCATAATATATAACAAACTAATAGTGATAACAAAAATAACAAACTCCCCCATATTACTTAATTATTCTTCCTCTAACAAATCTAGTAACAGAACTCCACATCAGCTAACAAGTTTTGCTGCTGGTTTGGGATTTATCCCAATTCGTTAGAACACTTTTATTTAGAGATGAACATACTAATAACATCAAAAAAATTTATTTATGCTTTTAAAGATTAAATTTAAACAATAATAGCCAAAGGTAAAAATAACTTAAAGTAATTGAAACTGCAAAGTAGTAAATATTCAATCATCTATTTCAGATTAACCATCAAAGTGCAAATTACATGGAAACACAAATTTAATAATCGAAATCAGAAAAATTTATCCAAAAAATTAGAAATATTTCCTCTTGGAGTCTGAAATCTACAGCAACAGTAACCCACATGCATATTTCGAACACTTAGGGCAGTAATCAAGTTTACAAGCAATAGTTCAATAAAAAATTAATTATAAGCAATAGTTTAATATTATAATCGAGTTTATAAGAACCCTAAATTAAATATAATTACAATTAACTTAAGAATAAACCCTAGATTACGAAATTAAGATTCGATAATTGCATAAAGAATCAACTTGTTACCTGAGAGAATTCATCTCAATGGATATCAGAATAGGCCTCAATTGATTTCAGAATTTGCCTCAAAGGAGAACGTTGAGTGCGCTTCAATGGGAAATAATGAGAGACGAGGAAATGTATGTGTCAGAGGGGGACTTCGGTGGAGGAGGGCTCTAGTGGAAGAAGGTTATGGTGGAGCACCGTCAGGAGGGCGGTTGCGGTGGACGGGGGCAATGGTGGAGGACGTAATGCTAAGAGGGAGCTAATGAAGAAATGAAGAAAGGTCGAAATGCCAAAATAAGTTTAGGGAGGTAATGAAGTAGGGTCGTTTTTTTTATGGTACCTTTAGTCAGGGACCAATAATTAGTAAAAGTGGTACAATAGAGTGTTACTTAATATCAAAATGTTAGTGTGTTACAATAAAGTGTTACTTAATATCAAAGTGTTACAATCAAGTGTTACCTAATGTTAAAGTGTTACATAGTGTTACCTATAAAGTAGTTCAGTTTCCAGCTTTTAAAGTGATACCATGTGATGTTACCTTAGGTCACTTTTGTAGTAGTGCAATATCAATAAGATTAATTGATATTACTCATATAATATAGTTATTATTATGGACTACATAGCTAGGATTAAATAAATAAAAGTAGTGGCGGATTAAAAAAATACCCATAATGGGTTCAGACTTTCGGAGTTATCAAACATTGCATATGATAATTTAAATTAGTTAATTGATGTATATAATAAAATAAATGTACACAAAAATTGTAATTGTGTAATATATATATATATATATATATATATATATATATATATATATATATATATATGCTTTGATTTTAATGTAAAGAATAAAATTATATATACAATAATAAAAATGAAATGAAGGGAAAAAATTATAGAAAATTAATAGGCTAGTATGTAAATTGTCAAGTGGAAAAAATAGTCAAACAAAAGTATATGAAAGTTTTTTTTTAAAAATATACATAATTTTTTTTATTTTCATGAAAAATAGGAATAATAGGCCAAAATAATATTATAAATCAAATGAAAGAAAAGAAAAACAAAACATAGTACAATCATATGTAAATATGTAACGGAAGGCTAACATATAAATTGGAGGGAACAAAAAATATAAAGGGTTTGTGGTGGGATTTGATCCCCTGACCCCTGCCCATATAAGGAAAATCACATTCAAAATTTTACCGTTGAACCACGGAATTCCTTTAGTGATATTCTTGCTTTCAATAATTTTTAAACCTTAAATTTTCTAGGTCACGTGACCCACCGTGAACAACGCTGGGTTCGCCACTAACTGCGCCACCCGTACACCATCCGTACAACACACTCTTCTTCCTCCTCCTTCTTTCTTTTCTCTTTGTTAATTAATTAAAATTTTAATCTTTATTTAAAATATGGTCTTAATTTGTTATTACTATGATTTGATTATGCATGTAAATTACAAAAGGTTATAAATTTGTGAGTTGTGCTACGTTTAATTTAATGACAAAAATTTCAGATTTTTATAAGTATGAAAATTAGGGCTTAAACTTTTTTTTTTCCATGATTTTAGGGGTTAAAACGTGTTAACCAAGTTATTTACATATATATAGTGCTTAAATTATGTTAAAATTATATTTTTTGTGAATATAATTAATTTTCAGATTTTGAATTATGTTTATTTTGGGGTAATAGTGTGAAATTTGAAGGTTTGATTGAGTTCTTATGAAACTAATTGAAAAACCAATTATATATTTCAAGTTTAAATTTTTGTATTTATACATTAAGTTACTAAATCAAAATTTCAGATTTTAGGTTATTGTTTTTGAAGCTCTAACTTAACATATAATGTAAGTAGTTTCAAAGATTATTATAATTTTGAGGTTTCATGTATAAAATAAATTTTCAGATTTTTATTAAACTTTAAATTTGCTATATTTTCATGTATAAGAGTGTATTTTAAGGTTTTTATGAAGAAAATTAAAGAACTACATATAAGCTTTTGATTTTAATTAAAGAAAGTTTTTAAAGTGTTGTTTGATTTGGATTTTGAAGGTTTTAAAGTGAGTTAGTATTGCTATTAATTTATTTGCTTGGGTGTTGATTTAGTTCTTGTTGTTTAGTTTAGGAGAGGACTTTTTAGAAGGCGGCTTCTAGTTTCTAAAGTGGCCTACCGATTCGTTTATTCAAGGTACGTACGAGTTACGAAACCTTTCCTTTAGATGCATGTTTAGGAATGTATCGAGAATTTAATATCATGTATAGAGAAGACTGGGCGAAATGGTTTGGTTATACATTGTGATTTCCGAATGTCGTGTATTATACTACCTTAGCTTGCAAGTATTGTTATGCATTGATTTTGTAAGATGCGCTTAGGGGCAAAAGTACGTGAATATGTGGAATGATTTATTTATTACTCGTTCATGATTATTGAGATATAATGAGTAAAGGAAGAATTTAAGTCTTATAATACAAGGTTAAGATTGTGAGGTGCTTTATGCACTCAAGGTGTTTATACACCGAGATAGTTAAAGTAATCAATAATAAATATTGATTGTTACTAATAAATCAAGAGTTGAATTGAAAACTTGCTTTACTTGATTGAATTGATGTTGGATTGATTGTATTTTTTTGCATATGAGTCATCACCAAGTCTAAACTTGTAAATCACGTGAAGTGTAAGATGGATGAGCAATAAAACTTTGGATTTGTGCACATCTGGAGTAATGACAATCAAGGGTTGGGGTACATGAGGTTTTAGTCGTGCACTTTTCTAGAGGCCGTCGGATCTACAAGTCTCTTTTTTCATATACTTTTCAAAAACTAGGAGTTAGATGAGATCTCATACTAGCTATGGTCATGGAGTCGCGTCCATGGCCATTGGATGTTTTATTGATGTTTTCGAAAGGAGGTATGGGGTTTTTGTTTCGTTGATGTTCCAAATGGAGCATGGGATGGACAACCTTATCTATTGCTTAATCCAATGAATAAAATGAAATGATGTAACTACTATTAATTAGTGATGTTTTAGTAAAATTGACAGTGGAGTCATGTGTTGACTCTATGATTTAATTGTGTGTGATGATTGAATATTAGTAGCATGATAGGGATTTCTTATTATATTTCGCAGCTTGTATGTACTCAGCTTTGCTGATTGCGTGCTTTGTGTGTCTTTCTTTGGTCATGGCCTTTGCCTTTCAATGATCATGTGACCATCGAATTTTTACACTTGTAATATTGGGGAGCAGATTAACCACATGTTCTTACACATGCAGCATTCACATCTAGGTGGTAGGATTTTGAGTGGAGTGTTGGTTACTTTTCACAACTTATTTTGCTTCTTATTTTTGAATTTATTAAACTCGGTTTCATTTTATACTACTTTTACTAGTTTGGGTTTTGAATAAGGGCCTTAATGATTCCAATTTGTAAGATTAATTTGGTTTTGTTTATTGATTTGAAACTTATTTATAACTGAATTAGTTTTTCCGCTGCTAATTTCTGATATAACCTTAATGTTTGTACACGTGGCGGCAACACGTTAGTAATTCTCTTGGATATTGTTCATGGTACTCACAGGTTTAAAGAGATAATTATTGGGGAGTTACAACAAGGGTCGAAATGTATTTTTAGGTTTTAAATGCAGGTGTTGTTTGGAGATTTGAGGGCGTCGTATAGTGTTCCACTCAAAGAATTATGAAAATTACATATTTAAAAAGTAATGATGAGACGAATCTAACAAGGTCCAATTTCATGATGTTTTTCCTTATATATTAGTATTAAAATGAGGTTAATGCTTAGTCAAATTAATAAATCAGATAAGACAAGTTAATAAAAATTCAAATTAAATAAGACCAAATAATATCTTATTAAAATCCACAAATTATGTGGCTAGCCACATGGTGTGGTCACTTCACATATAAGATAACTAAATAAATAATAGGGGTCGCGGTGATGAGTAAATGGGGTTACCTAGACGTATGTGAGTTACTTTAAATGAAAAAAGGGGTTACTCTCTTACATAAGTGGAATCATTCTTTTAATTTTTAAAACAAAAAAATAGGGGTTACTCGAATGAACAAATGAGGTTACTTATACTACATCCTCTTCATATTACTCGCAACATTTTCCAAAAATAGTGCTTCACATTACTCGCAACAAATATTTTTCTTTCCTTATTTAGTAAGTTTTTGCCTGCAAAATGAATATTTTCCCTTACTTTTTTTTAACTCACCTTCTTAGAACTCTTATTCTAGTTTCATTATCTTTAGCATTAGATTAATTATCCTAACCATTCCCGCCAAAATTACACCCAACCTTTTAAAATCCCCTATCTCCCAACCACACTCATTGAATGCATCGTCATTCAATTCATCTGTTGAAGATGGTTGGGTGCATTCAATTCTGGATTTCTTGAAAACCAAACCCCCAAACCCTAGTTATTCATATTCATCCTCTTCTCTTTCTCTAAAAATGCTCTGTTTCTCTCTCTTGATTTTCTAGGTTTTCTTCTTTTTCTCTCTTGCTTTCCAATCTCTTATTTTGCTTATCTTTCACCATGAATCTTCAAACGAAAAAAACCCAGACCTGCAATGCTACAAGTCTCTTCCTTCTGCTACTAAACTCTCTTTGTCTTGTCCTTCTTTTCTAAGGTACAAACCTCGCCATGGATCTAGTATCAAGAAACCTGCACATCGCGCTTCTATAATTGCGATGAGGAAGATTCATGGGGCTAAATTTATGGAGTATATCTCCAGTGATGACGAAGAGAAACCACCAAAGGTTGTTGTTTTGGCTTTTGGATCTAAGAACGGTGGTCCACCTACTCCCGCTGTAGATATAGTTCAGAAACTAGGGACTCTGGCTTTGTTGAGCTCACTATTGGGGAAGTTCTCCAGCCACATGAGTCCCATCCTATGCTGGCTAGGAGTGTAGTTGGACCTAGTTCTGGTACGAAGCACATCAGACCTGGCCTCCCTAAAGGTCTTGAGCCAAATGATGTGTACATGCATAACTTATCTTCAAATCTACTACCCCTGGTAATAAGTTCCCCCAAACCAAATGGGCAGCATAAATTCTAAAATCCTAACTTTGTTTAATTTTGGATGAATTGTGGTTAATTATGTAGGACTTTAGATACTTTAAGCGGCATTTCATGAATCATATTCATAAGCATCTAATAACCAAGATCATTGCATAACACACAAAGAACATATAATTGTACCTTTGAAGTGTGAATCCACGTGCGATCGATCAAGAACAATGGGAGATAAAGAACCCCAAACGTGATTCCTCTACTTGGTCCACGAGCACAAGCTAAACCTCCACTAATGCTAGTTAGTATTGATTGAACGCTTAAATCAACCTTTAACGAAGAAAAGAGACACGAACTAACCACGAACCACCACAACAAATACCACGAGCCACCATGAG